TATATTAATTAAACTATTATCAAATATCTAACAATGATATCCAGAAATCTTAAGAGATATATCAAAAAGGTAAAAATAATTAAAATTTAGGTTATAAATTATATTTGAATGATAAGAATTATTTGGAAGCAATCAAAATGTTTGATTAGGCATTAATTTTTAATTCTAAAAATTAATCAGCATTGTATTACAAAGGTATAGCTTCTCTTTATGTATTAGCAAATAGTTTCGTTTAAAATAGTCAAGATAATCTATTATAAGAATGCTTGATTAATATAACGAAGCAATTATATGGGCAGATAAACTCTTGGAAATCGATCCATAATATAAATCTGTATTGCTATGCAAGGGTAGAACTACTATTATATGTTTTAGCAAATAGTTTAAGAAGGCTTGGCTAATATAAAGAAGCAATTGTATGGGCAGAAAAAGTTTTAAACATTGATCCTAAACATAAATTATCATTGTATTGCAAAGGTAGAATAACGAATATATAAATTAGGGGAGTGCTTACAAGAACAGAACCAATATTCAGAAGCGTTGATATTTTACGAAAAATTTTTGAAGATTTAACCAAATTTACAGTATTTTAAAGACAGCAAAAGTAATTTTAAATTTAAGATAAAGATGAATGTTTAGAAGCTTTGAAAAAGAAATGATTAAAATTTAACATAAGCATAAATTATATTTAAAAATAAAACCTTTAACAACTATTTAATTTACTGCGCTATTCTAAATATGGTATATTTAATATAATAAGTTTGTAAATCAATTATTAAATTCATTTTCAATTTACAAGTAAATCAACTCAAATATATTTAAATATTATAATTATGAATATTTAATCTAAATTACTTATGTAATTAATTATTAATAACATTAGAAAACTTTAAATAAGTTGCATCAGTTGTTAAAATCTTTAAGAATTAAAACAGTATTAATATTAAATCGAATGTTTACAATTATTATATTTACCCTCATTGATCATCAATAATCAAGAGATCTATTCAGAATGATTTGATATTTTTTTTAAATTAAATATGTATAAATACAAAAACTATTAAGATTTTACTATTGAAAAAGAGGAGAAAAGCTTTGACAAGTTCCTCCTCCAATATTGCTAATTTACTATTGAAGATGCAATATCAAATTGAATACATTCTAGATAATAATAGATAAATATATAACTTAATGAATTTTTGGAATTTAATACAATTTATGTACTGGTCTTACTTAACTAATTGCTAGCAAATATTTTTTGTTCACATTCAATTAGATTATCTGGTTCTTATTAATTTTTAAGCATTTTGTATGTATTTTTTAAACAATAGAGGCTGTTCCACAATTTATGTATGGTAAGAATGTGTTATTAATTATTCTCTTGGTTCAATCCATAAATTCATAAATTGGTTCAATTGTTAATAATTTACTTTTCTATAAAAGTATAAAATCTCAATATAAACCAATTGTTATTCAGAAATATGATGCATCTATAAACTGAATCTATATGTTAATATTATTCAATGATTTTATTATTTCTTCCTCTTCAATATTCAGTCTTAATACAATTATAAGGATTGTAAAATCCAAGGTCTGATAAGTATTAATTATTACTTCATACTAGTAACATTTTGATAAGATAATTTCATTATTTTATATAATTAATTTTGCTTCGAGTTACTAATTATAACACAAACTTAAAGTCAAGCTAATAATATATATAAAAATATATTTTTAAGTATTAAAAATTACTT